TGTCATTATTTACCAAATGATACTTCATGACAACTGTCATAAACATTCATGAAGACTCCTTTATGTTCATAACAGGTGTTATGTTATGTTTCTGACAGTGTCATGTCTGTTTTATGCACACCCCTTCAAATAAAGTGTTACCCAAAAAACTCTGAGCCTCAAAAACTTGCTGGTAAATACTTAGAATAAATCAAAGTTGGCTCCAGCTTTTGACTCCAACGCTACAGGGTGGAAGTGAACAAACAGCAGTGTGCAAGCGCAACATGACTGTAGTTGCATGTTGCACGTTTGGTCACTAGAGGGCAGTACTGACTCATCATTTGGAGAAGCTTTCTATGAATGTTTGAAAAAGTCAAGAGTACATACTTGGATGAGTTGCTATAACGGAGAAAATATTTTTTGGGATACTGAAGAGAACTGTGGCCTAATGGCATTTGTCAATTTAACATAAAACCCTTGACATCCTACGAGGTTGTTAGCAGTAAGTTAGGATTTTCTCAGCAGAACTTTTGAGAATGTCAGGACATCATAGATTGTATCCTGAAATAAAAAGGTCAGTCATAGCAGGCAGGGATCAGATCTTGTCTGACACTTTGCTCTATTGATTAATTTGTGGTTATTCTAGTGGCTGTGATCAATTATTCATGGGAATCTTTGATTTTCTGCCAGTAGACCTGTACTTATAGTTCTGGGCATTTCAGCGTCTGAACGTTAGACCCGTCTATGAGAGATTCTGGGTTGTGAATATTTGAAAACTCTGGGTCCAATATTTAGATATTAAATGTCGCTTGAGTGACAGTCTTCTTAAATAAATTTGAATTTCTGAATTTGCCAGATAAATTTTAATGGCGGAGAAATATATGTTCATGTGAAGTATATAGTACAGTCTTAATTTGGTTAACATTATGCATTGTGCATTGTGATTATATGATGTGACTGGTTCAGCTTGTAGATTCTACAAAATACAGGTAAGTAAAACTATTACAAGCACATTTCTAAAAGAATGTTTAAGGAAATGTAACACAGTAGTACTCATGCAGCTTGTAAAGACATTTTCTTTATGCTATTACTTTTCCACCTTTATTAGTTTTTACATAACTTTTACAAAGGATATTTACACAGTGCACCTTTATAATGAACAGCTGAAGCCATATACTGTGTGAAACAATTTTTTTTCTCATTAAGTGGGTTTCATATTTTAGGCCAAATGAAGTTACAAGAACTATTTTAATGAATCAGCTAATTGAGAGCATTTTTCTTGACTTTATTTGAATTCAGAAGCTAAGTATAATGGCATCTCCTGTTCCAATCTGTTTTTCTTCGGAGCTTAAGAAAATCCTGATCCAAGACTGTTGCTGTTGCCTTTAGTGAGTTGTTAAGAAGGCATACAGTTATGGTTTATGTTCTTCATTTTATGAAACAACCATCTTTTGTACAATCACCTCCAGAAAAATCAGGAGCAGTCCTCAGAACGTTTGCAGCTTATTTCTGCAAAATGACTAACTTGTATCTGTACTCTAGTACCAAGTGATTAATCAAATATTTTCAATTAACTTTAGCTGTAAGTGAAAATTAATATAGTTCAAAATACTATTTCTATTTACTTTGAAATTACTTTCCTCTAACTCAATATATGCAAAGGTTTTGGTTGACGTGTACTTGAGGAACGTTGGTTCTGCTCCACCTCCTGATCGTCCTCTGAAGAAGCATCAGTGTCCTCAGACATTTAGAGACCATGTCAGGATGAAGACATGCGGAACCAAGACGTCTTGGTAGGATAGTGAGATATTCCTGTGAAGGATTCTTTACCTCCCTTCACATGTAAACTGGACTGTCTTGTTCACTGCTTTCTTTTACAATGTGTGTTTTGGTTTTCCAGTAAGCACATTTTTGTCCAGATAAATTTTGGACGTGGTCTCCAGGTTGAGGTTCTGCACTCCAGGCTTTTCAGTTGTAATATTTTTGTCCTCTTTTACTTGTTTTTCCTCAAGTCTGCTTGTGTAATATTGTATAATCTTGATCAGACTGTGACTGCTTTTGCTGTCTTGGGAGCAATAGGCCAATAGTTAGTGTCTGCTCTGCTCCAAATAAAAGACGTAAAAGTGAAAAGCCAGTCAATTCATGAACTGTTGGGTTGTACAGCCAAAATCTATCCAGACAATATACAACAGGACAGACACGTCTTTAGAGATATATTTCTAATGTACTTTGGAGGCCAGTAGATTGTTACAAATATACCATCATTTAAAGATTTGAACTGTATGCAAAAAGTATTGTTCCCGCATTTTAGTTTTTCATAGGTAGAATAATAATAAAGCATTATGAAAAACACAAAAACAAACACCAAGATGAGATAATACAGTAAATATGTATCACGTTTGGTTTGTGTTGAGGACTTTTTTCATAAATTAACACTACAGGCTAATAGAATTATGGCAGAAGCTGCATTTCTGTGGGATCTTTATGTTTTACTTCTCAAACGACAGAAAGATAGAAACCTAAACATCAGAATGTTCGACTTCCAACATTCATCCAACAACTTCGTTAGTCCAGGAAGTCTAAAGGTGTTTGTGATCATAATCCATAATCGGATAATTGCATGAGTGTGTCAGTGTGTTATGGCACTGTGCTGCTGCTCCCCTTCGGTGGCTCTGATTGGTTGCTAGAAAGGTTGTCTCCAGCAATCGCTTTAATCCTCTTAGATAAAACAGAGCCTTCATCCAATCCCCTTCATCAATCCTTTCTCCCCTCCTACTTTTCTCTCTCTCTCCCTCTGTCTGCCTGTCTGTTACATATGGAAGCAGAATTTTTAATCCAAATGGATTGTGCAGCAAATTTGGCAGCCGTGGAGAGGAGCAGAAACCACTGCGACTGTGACAAAAAAACAAAAAACCGAAGGATCCAAACACAGATAAAATTGATGTGTTTCTCTGCAGTCTGTGCTAGGTCCTGACATTTCCTTTTCCATTCAGTTCATTGCAGATGGCTCTGAGATCTTCAAGGACTTGCCTTTTTCCCTGACAAGGATCAGAGCTGACAGGAGATGCCACCTAAAGAACACCTTTACCAAGACAGTACGGAAGCCAAAAAGGGTCAAAAGTCCATCAGCAAAAATCTTGGCACTCTCTGCCTGCTGCAAGCATGAGGAAACCATTTTCTTCAAACTCCTGATTGAACTTTAAATCTGAATTCCCTGAGACATATGAACTGGGAATAACTTTGGGAAAGCAGGATGGAAACAGGAACGTTGGGAATAAGGAGCCTACTGAGGATTCTGGGATGTTTCTGCTTGTGGATTCTGGCTGATGCTCAAATGAAGATCCCACCAGAGACGTAAGTTCCACCTTGTATTGTTTCTTATGGATGTTAACTTTCTCTTCTCAGTCACACAAAATAGAGCACCATACAGTAAAGGGTTTTCCACCAAGTGATTTAATTAACTTCCACCAAGTGATTTAATTAACTTCTCTTGGACATGATGAAACTTTTAAACCTTGAAAGTTTAAAAGTTTCTTGGCAAACAAGTTTCTTCTGTCTAATGGTAATACTGCTGACTCTGAATCTGTGGAAGGAGTCCAGACTACGGTGATGGCACAGAAGCATTTCAACCTCAAAGACTCACCACTAAATTTGAACAGTCAAAAATACCAGTGAGACAAAAACCTTGTCAGCAACTGCAGGAAGAATTTAATGATGTAATGAAATTAAAGTATTTCCCATAAAATTTTGAGATGGGTAAAAATAACTGCTCTTGTCATAAACTTTGGATCAGGTTAAGGCAACGCAACAATATGAAATTACTAATTTCTGCACTCTAAAATGCAATAGCTATTCTTACTTAAATTTGGTTTGTATGCTTTACTTAAATCTCACTAAATTGTTAATTCAACTCAAATAATGTGAGTAATGTACATGTTTGACCTNTTTTTGAAGATTTAATATTTGGAAACTGGGATTTTGTCCCCCTCAGTAATCCACTCCCTGTTTCCATAGTTCAGAGAACCACAATGTCTTTTTGTTTTACAGCTTCTATTCATTTCAACTGGCAGAAGGAATGACTGTAATAAAAACCCTTTTTATTTAACACATTCTCTGTCATTTTTGTTTTCTTTTCTTTCTTGATTTTAAAAAAAGAGGGGGGAATCAGTTAAAATCGGAATTTAAATTTTGGATAAATTTACAGATTTTATTTTTAAACTATATTGCCCAGTTCTAACAATGAACCGAAACTTATTTCACAATATTAAAACAAAAACCTTTATTTGAATTAACCTATCATGTTGAAGTCGAAGATGTGTTTTTGTTATATTTAGGAAAACTTTTTCTAGCTGCATTTTTTTCTTATTATTTTGAGTTTTTGAATGTTTATTTCCTTAAATTAAAATGTACAATATTTAAAGTCGCCTCACAGTATTTTGCTTTTAGCAGCCATTTTTAAAATTCAAATCACCCAGTAATTAAACTAGGCTATAAACAGAAACTGTTTTTAAATCCTCTGTTTTTTGCTTCATTCAAATATTGCATGTTTCTATTTAATTCTGTGCAGCTGAAAATATACTAACTCACAATAAATTTTATCATTTCATTTTGCAACATTATGGCTCCCAAGTACTTTCTACTTATTGTACTTGAAACAAATAGTTTATACATATTAATTTTGACACTTGGGTTATTTTTTTAAGCATTAAAGCTAAATCTTGATGCTAAGGATTAATTTCCTAAATTGTGCTTAAATCACACTTTATAATTAAGACACTTGCTGTGCTTTTACATTTATTTTTTTATCTGTTAACTAAAAGCTCAGTTTGTATCACGGCAGGATTTTCTCACTCTGAAGACGTGTTGAACTTTTGTATCTGAAGCTGGCCGCTCACCCACACAACGCAGCAACAGACTTCACCCACATTTCTGCAGAAAAAACAGTTTTTGAAAGACATAAAACGCAGCAGAAACTACAACAAACATCTAAAGGATTTAACGATCGGTGTGTCTCCTCACAGGTGTCGAGGCAGAAAGTATCGTCAGCGCTCCAAGTCCTGCTTCCCAGCAGGGAGGAAGGAATCACCACCAGGTTTTCAGAGGCAACAAGCCCCGGCACAGGACGGCCTCAAACCTTCATCCCTCCTCATCCTCGCTAGCCTTTGATGAGCAGGGATCGTCAGGAGGGAAAAAGATGGGTGAGTAACTTAAAATGGAGATGCACCGATCCGATATTGATATCTGTATCGGTTGAAAAAAACTTCTAGATTGGGTATCATGAGGACGTGCTCCATCCATAAGGGCAGATCTATTCAGTCTAGCTCTATCAGGGTTTCCCCCGGAAACATTTCTAGGCCCGGTGTTCAGGGCGCTACGCCAGTCATCCAGCCACTCGCCGTGTTTTTGATTTAAAAAATGTTTAAAGTTGACAGGAAGTTTGAAAATATCATTTGATACTTACGCATTTTTGGAAGATTACCATCTAAACACGAATTATAAAGTCTTTAAAAAAACAGGCAATCATTAAAACAACCTAATAAATTAACAAGGCTAAGCCTGGTGGGGACACAAGCAAAGCCTGGTGGCCCACCAGGCTTACAATACTCCGAGGGGAAACCCCAGCTGGGCTTTGTGCTCTGAGCGACGCCATGCTTTATTTGAGTTCATAATTGCACTTTCTGAACCATTTCAACAGTTTCTTTTGTTTATTTTTACTTTTGACTAAGATGGTCAACCTGTTGTTTTAGTCAGGTTGAATTAATTTATTTTTTATTTAATATTGGCCGTTATACTCCTGACTACACTGACTGAACAGACTGTGTTGTTTTGACCAAACTTGTGAAGCTATTGGTGCATTTAAGGTGCTGTACAGGTACAGAGTTATCAAATAAATGTATATTTCCCCTTTGAAGGACAATAAATGTTTTTATTCCGTTCTGCTTATTTAAAAAAACTTTTAAGTCGTTTCAACGCTGTTTTTCCGCATTGGATCGGTTTCGGCTGATACTGAACCTCAGATATCGGTAACAAAAGTGAAAAACGTGAATCGGTGCATTTTAAACTTGAATCTAAATTAAAACAGCCCTCCAGTTGATGTTAACCTGAACATCAGAGGTTCCTCAGATGTTTAAAAATAATCCGTCTCTCCTCCTCAGCTCCCAACATCGACCGCTCAGTGAAAGACCTGCAGAGATGCACCGTCTCCCTGACGCGCTACAGGATGGTGGTGAAGGAGGAGATGGACTCCTCCATCAAGAGGATGAAACAGACGTTTGCTGAACTCCAGAGCTGGTACGTCGGCTTCCTGTGAAACCGTCACATTTCTCATTCTGCTGAAAGAGAAAATCACATTTCTGAGGGTTTTAATGGCTTCTGAGGTGGAAATGATTGAGAAAAAAGCCCAGCTGGTTCTGAACCTGCGTCGCAGTCACAGTCTCCTGCAAAGTTTAATCATTTGGATTTATTCTGCTGGTGCTCAATGACTAAATACGTCAATTTTTAGCTGAAAACAAATTTATTTCCTCAGATCAGAGGAGGGAGGATTGAAATGGGATGGTTAAGAGGAGCGCAGTAAATTTCATTCTGACTTTTTTTTTTTTAAAGAGCAATTTTCTTTATAGAAACTTCATAATTTATTTTGATGGTTTTGGTTGTAAGCAGGGCTGCAACTAACGATTATTAATTGATTATTGTACCAATCATTCTGTCAAAAATTCACATTCTGTGGATTTTTTATTTAACCAATTAAAAAAATCAATCCTTCTTTAAAATGAGGAAAATAATATACATGTTTTAGAAAAGTTTTGACTTAATTACTGTTAGATGTTTCTGCATAGGTCATTTTTGAGCAGTGCAGTTAATGATTTACTAAATTAGGTGAGTTATTTCAATAATCGATTAATCGTTTCAGCTCTACTGGCTTAAAGTGGTTTTTACTTCCTTTTACATTTCTCTGTCTTTTTATTTTGGATATTTAAAATGTCTTTCAGTTCCAGTGTTAAGTCCTTACAAAAATTAAAGTTCATTTGTATTTGAGAGGGTAAATTTCTATCATTATTATCAGTAGATCTCTTAAAAATGATCTCAAAACAACAATATTATCGTTTATTGCAATAATTTCTGATGCAGTTTATCATCTTAACAGGCCTAATTATAGTTTGTGGTGAATTTGAGTACAGCTCTTTTTTTTTTTTCCATTACACTCAAAGTTTCACTTTTATTACATGAAGTCAACACAACGTCTTCTGTTAAGTTGTACTGGATATCTGAGACGGGAAGGTGGCAGAAAAACTTGGTTCACAAAAACAAATCTCTCCTTTTTGTTTGTTCTGTGGTTTTCCTGCCCGAGTTGTTACCTGTGATGATGTCAGCACAACAAACAGCAGGATGGTCAGATGAAGAGCAAACTGAACACAGATTTCAGATGGGAAAACATTCCTGCGTCTCGAGAGTCTAAACATGACTTGTAACTATGAAGTGTCGCCTTGCAGCGTTTCAAACGTTTCCAATGCAGTAAATGCGTTTAGTTTGTTTTCCCACTTTGGTGATTTCTGTGACTAGTTTAGATCTTTTTATACAGCTAAAAATAAAAAACTGTAACATTGTTGAAAAGTGAATTTATTTCACTTCAGTTAAAAACATTAATTGCAGAGTAGGACTGCAACAAAAGACTTTAGTAATCGATTATTCTATCGATTTAATCTAAAGTTAAATCAGGCCAAACTTCTCGTTTTAGGTTCATCAAAATTATTTCTGTTTGCAACAATAGTGAGAGTAATTTATTTATTAATGTTTAATAATGCCTAGTGTCACAATAAATCAATTATTTGCATCATAAATTAAAACAATCTGAATTATTTTCCATTTGTATTATTGCTGTTTTTTCTCGTTTCCCTCTTTCTAGTGAAAGATAGAAAATGATTTTCTGCTTTAATCTCAACCGGCTCCTTTTTTGAAGGAGAGTTTGAGACTTCAGCTTCATTTGTAGTTTTGTGTATTTTGTTTTATTTATTTTGGGTATTTAAAATGCCTTCCAGTTCAAGTGCTAAATATTCATTAGAAATAAAAGTTTAGACATCTTTGAGATGGTTTTCTTGCATTATTATACCATAACTGTTATGGTCCCAAAACAACAATATTATCATTTATTGCACTAACATCTGGGACAATTTATCATCCAGAAAAATATAATTGTGACAGGCCTTAATGGATGCATACATGTTTTATAAATCAAACCTAAGTGATCTAAATTTTAAAGGTGCAATAATTTTTTCTCCCCCTTAATAATATTTAGACAGTTTTTAAATAGTGGCAGCATTTCTGCTCCAAACTGTTGTGCTTTAATAATTGAGAAAAGATGTGTCTTCCAGTGAGTTACTCGTTGTCGTCTTGTTTTCTTTCCAGCTTAATGGACAGAGAAGTGACTCTTCTGGCAGAGATGGACAAAGTGAAAGCCGAGGCCAGTAAGTGCTGCGTTTTCAAGTGTTTTTACGCTGCGCTCGGCTCGTCACTGATGACCAGAGCTGCTGGTGTTCTTCCATCTTATGATCACCTGACTGAAAGCCCCGAAGAATCTGACCCAATTCATTCCCAGAAGGAGAAACGGAGATTGTTGTGGAACAGCAAGTCCCAGTTTCCTGAAAAGTGCAGCGGCGCCCTGAGGGTGCTGATCTACCTGCAGCTCCTGCTGTGTGTTTGTGTGTAACATGACAGAGCAGGACTTCATATTTGTATAAGTAGGCCATTCTCTCTTCCTCTGTCCTCTCAGTGTGGAGTGTTGTGTGTTTGAGGCCTGAATAGTGTCAGGTGTCGAGGGAGACTCAATGCTGCTTTTGTGCAGTGAATTGAGTGGAAACCTGAGTTCCTCCTCAACAGAACCAAAACGGTTTCTTGAAAATTTACCCCGTAATGTTGCGCTGTGTTTGTGTAGTTATAAAAATGTTTATTCTGATGGGAAATTATTTTTAATCAGTGCCTCACTACCTGGTTACAGAAAGCAGCAGGAAAGGTGAAGTTCATTCTTCAAAAACAGCTCTAAACTCTATTCTGCTAAAATTAATGATATCCTACAAGCTTTCTGGAAAAACGGATATTTTTCCCAAATCAGGAGAAAAGTAAATGCTTTATTCCTTTCAGGCAGCTGCCTTTTTATGCACACATTTATTCCTGCATGCATCTTTCTGTTCAGTCATTCCTCCGTCTTTTTTGTCTCCTTGCCCTACATTCATCCTGCATTTTTGTATTTATAGAAAATTAGGAATTATCTAGAAAAAAAGTGGAGAATCTAAAAATGAGTTATGGAAATAATCTATGGCTATCTCTGCTGTCTGTTTTTGTATAAATCCCTCTGCCAAGAGTGATTAAAACATGCACTGACTCTTCATTAACACCAACTAGTGGCTGTAACATTAAAAAGAAGAGGAAATTTGTTTTAAGTTGCTGTGCTTGAAGACATGTTGAGATTTGAGCAACTTTTAACCAATCATGATCCATAACTGCTGCTGCTGTTCTGCAGTGATCAGAACCTGCCACTAGGGGGCCACAGAGGGAAAAACTGAATGCCAGTCGGGGTTGATTTAATTCACAGGGGTGTGGAGACTGTAGGAAACCTGCAGCTCCCAGTTCTCAAACTTCCTCCTGGATCTAAAAATGCATCAGTTTGAATGAAGTGCAGAGCTGAAGATCGGTTGGGTCACCTGCTGCCCTCCGTCCATTAACAAGACTGGATGCAAGCAGCAGCAAAAGGCACCAGAGTTAATAAAAGGTTTTATTTATATGGATACCTGGCTCCTTCCCTCACCAAGAGAAGAAATCACTGCAAAAACACAAAATCTTACCAAGTATTTCTGGCTAATTTTAATGCAAATATCTTAGTGCACTTGAAATAAGACAAAACTATTTTACAAGCAACTTTTCGGCAAAATATAGGAGCTTAAAATAAGTCAGTAATTCCTTTATTTTAATAAAAGGAGGTGCTAGTTCCACTGGAAGATTATTTCACCTTTAACAGGACATGTTTCCATGCTAAGTGAATTAATTTGCCAGTGAAGTTAGCACTATTTATCAACATGAAGGACTTAAAACAAGCTCATATTTTCTGCTGAAAAGTTATTTGTAATTTAGTATACTTTAAGACAAAACTAGAATATTTCTAGTAGAAACTGGACCAAAAATACTTGGTAAGGTTTTGTGTTTTTGCAGTTTCTTCCTTATTGCTTTGTGTTAGAAACCTCACAGGACTCTGAGGAGGTTCAGTAGAATTTATGCTTTGATATTTTCTTGTTTTCTGCAGACTTTACTCCAATATTTCTAATACTGGGCGCCTCTTTGGACTTTGCTTGGATGCCAATATTTGCAGCCTGTAGTTGTTTCTGTCAAACATGTTGCCGGTTTAATCTGTGAAACCGTTTTCCTGATATCTAGTTAAACTGTGTATTTCTCTCTCTCTGAGTTTCTGTTTTTTGTGTTGCAGTGATGATTCTGGACGCTCGGCAGAAGAGAGCGGAGGAGCTGAAGCGGCTGACGGACCGGTCCGGTTCCATGTCTGAGGAGCAGCTGACTGAGCTGCGCGCCGACATCAAGGTGCTGCGACATTTTCACTCTGCTTTATTTATATTAACTTTTATTTTATGGGATTAAACTATATGAATGAAAGGCTTTAACATTCTGGCTTGAAATAAGCGGAGAGTTTTATTATTTTTGTATTTTTTTCAGCATTTTGTGAGTGAACGTAAATACGACGAGGACCTTGGGAAAGCTTTAAGATTTACATTTGACCTTGAGCCGCTGAAGACGAGCATCTCTGGGTTTGGATCAGGTACAGCACTTTAGTTCCTTTATTTTTCTCTTTCATTTATATTTTAAAATGAATAAAGTCCAGTTTTGTCCCTCTTCTCCTCATGGAGACTCTTTTAACTCTTAGGTTATCCAGTTGAGACAGCAGGCGTTTTGAAAACGATCAGATATTTATCAGAATTAGAACCACAAATGGACGTGGCATAAATCGGATTTATTTTATTTTTGGGTGAAAACGTTGTAATCTCTCCATTTGCTGCATGTTTTCCCCTCTTTCTTCCCCTGGTTTCCTGTCGGTTTACTGCTCAGAAATCAGTCGCAGTAGATGCTCACCTATCTGACCAGGTTGCTCATTATGCTGAACTTCAGTGCGTTGGATTTATTGACGGAGAACAACAGAGAAAACGTGTCTATAGCAACTGGGGAAATTTTAAAGTAGAATCTTAAAAATCAAATGATTTCTTATCGTCTTGCTGCTTCTTCACACACGTCGGCTAAAACCCTCTGAGATTCTGTCGGCTGACAAACACTGGGCCTTATCGTGTCAAAACGCTCATTTATTTTTAACCTACAAAGACTTTACTGGCTCTTGAAACCCCTAATTCTCAGAGAATAACTGTCTGCGGTTAAATTAAGCTTCTTTAAATCTCCAAAAGTCAGTTTTGTTAACGAGGCAGGAATCATGTTTTACCGTTTCTGACTCTCTGCCTTCTAGTGTACCATCCACGTACGGGCTACTCGGACCGGTCCCGCTGTAGCTCCACGTCCTCCTCTGTCGCCAGCCCGGTCCAAACGGAGACCCCTCCTCCCACCCAGACCCAAACCGCCCCCGCTGAAAACCGCCCGCCTCCAGTCAAACAGGTGAGAAAGAAATAAACTCATAAATCATCTTTATCGCACTTTTACTTCTAAAACGTCTCAATTCTAGAGCAAAAAAGTGGTACATAGTTGTTAAATGGACAGAAAGTACTTCTTAAATCTGTGGCCTAGTCAAAGTCCAGACCTAAATCCAATTAGAAATGTGTAAAGATTTGAAAATTTGACTGTAACTGCAGTGAAAGAGTCAACAGAGTTGATATAAATGCAACTTTTTATTTGTAACAATTAAATGGTGCAGTCAGTCGATTAAAACATGTGATCCGATTATTCACTCTTCTTTTGTAACCTTGAAACGTAAATATGCATAATTTCAAAACGTTTAAGAAATTATTTTATTGTCTAAAACCAAACATCTCAGTTTTCCAGGTTTTTATATTCAGGATAATTTTAAAATAAGTTATTTTGTTTAAAATGTAAACTATAAGCTGGTTTTGCTTCAGGAGGAGGATAAGTTATCGTTGCAACATCTCCTGCCAAACTTTTGTTTTGGTAAAATCCAGCTTTTATCCAAACTCAGGATGTTTTTAAAAAGTGAAATTTGCGGCTTGGCACACCACTTTGACTCTCCCTGTTCATCTTTTCACTCACATTTGTGACTCTGAACTGTTGACCGCAGTACAAGACCGTGTAACGCGCTGCTTTGAACCAAGTAACCCTCTTCATACAAAAGAAGTTTAGGCGAAACTTGGTAGTGCGATTAATCTGCGTTAAGTAATATCGTGTTAAACAATTTAGATTAATTGGTTGTGTTAATGTTGAGAGCCCTATAAATAAATAAAATGATTAATTTATGTCTATTTTCAGTGAATTCCCACTTTGTTGTTCCATCACAAAAATTCCCAACAAAACATTAAACATTTTGGAGGTTTTTATGCCTCCATTTGGGTCTCAACTGCTTCTAAAAACAACTTAAGCGCTTTAAAGAGGAAAAAAAAAAACACTCATCTTCATGTTTTTTTTTGATGTCTGGTAAACGAATTGCTTCACAAACATCCCGGAAAGCCACATTCAGTGGCCACTGTGTTGTTACTTAGCAAACCAAACAGCACTCCAGCATGTTTGGTCAGCTGGTTTTGCCACTGTATGTGCTGTACAATGGCTGCTGGAAAAGACAAGTGTTTTGTTGTTGACTTAACATTCAGAAACAACTTCCTGGATTCTGGTTGGCTGTGCAGGAGCCTCTACTAATGCTTTTCAAAGATGTATAATTGCACATCTGTTTGCAGCCTTTTTTTTTTTCATGCAAGTGTAAACGTTGAGTTGGGGGCGTGGCCAGCAGCAGCTAATTTGAATTTAAAGTGGCAGGAGGCCCTAAAAACAAAGAATGATTCTGTAAAAAAAAAAAGTAATAAAAATGCTTCTTATCAACCAGAGACTCATCCTAACATGTTCAAGGAAGCATAATAGTTCACCTTTAACTTTCACATTTTGTCATGTTACAGGCACAAACTTTAAAAGAGTTTTAAAAACTCGGTTTACTCACCATTCTGTTTTAATTTCGTCCTCAGATTTTCCAGGGAAACAGGCGAACCTTCCAGGGACCCGGCTACCACTCGGGCGGCCAGCGGTTCAACGGCAGCTCCCACCACGACAGGAACGCCGGGCGCGGGAGCCACCGTTACCAGGGCGACGCCGGCTCCTCCGGCCCGTCCTCACAGCAGCCCCACAGCTCCAGGGGCCCCTCACACCCCCCCCACAACCCAGACCGGCCCGCCCACAACGGGCTGCCCCAGCGGCTCCCTCGAACGCACTGCCCTTGACACCGGAAACCGTCTCACTCAATCAAACCCATCCACTACCCCCCTGCCCCCAGAGCGCTCCATTACCCCTCCACCCCAACGCCCTTCAATGAAGAATAGTATACAGTTTACATATTTCAGTCAGTTGAGCTGTAGTGCCGCCGCTCTGCATCACTCTGTTCATTCTTTGAACTTGAAAAGCTCCGACTGTCTCTCTCTCCTCGTTTCATTTCTCGGTTTTCGTGACACTTTCTATCTTTAGCCTCTGCTGCTGTGGCTCTCCGTCGTTTCATCACCGAGACTCGCGCAATTTACCTGCAACAATCCGTGCACTATTGAAGTTGAACTCTTAGTACTTTTTCTCTTTTTGCGCCGTCAGCTCTCTGATTTGAAGGTTTTTTTTGTTTCTTTTTGTTTTTTCGTCTCCAGGAACCATTTCAATGCCTTCGCTGTTTGGGGGGGCAAAAAAAAGTGTTGTGGAAAAGTAGTTGTAGCTTCGACGGGGCTTTCCGACATGCAATCAACACTACAGACTGTCGTCTGTCTTCGCTGGGTGGAAATGAGACATATCAAACTGTAAATCAGAGCTTAACGTTCGGCTGCTACAAGCTGTAGGGGAAACTTAATGTTTGGACACAAAAGGAGTAGTTTAACTTTTATAAAAAAAAACAAATGATAATAGTAAAAAAGAGGCTCTCGCTCCTTTTCTCTCTGCTGGATCGCTTTGTTTGCTCTCCATTTCTGTAAGGAGTTGAAACTATTCCTGTTGATTTCGCCCGAAGCCGGATCCATTATTTTCTGACTAAGAGGGCTCATTAGCTTTTTTTTTTTGTGAACTATTAATGAAGGAGGCTTTGGTGTACACATGTTGTTTCATAATCCAGAGCATTTATTCAGCTGGATGTTCTCCTGCACGCCCAGTTCCTTGCTTTATTCTGTTTCTCTTTTTATGCACACGAGTGGCATAATAATGTCCTGCTTGCCTTTAGTCGCAGACTTCACATTTGCCTTTCTGCAAACACAGATGTCTCCATCAAAACCTGGATTTCAGGCGCCGTGTTTTTGTTTTTTATTTGTTTATTGTCCGAGTGCAGAAGTAAAGTTCTCATAGGATGATCGAACCCATCGGGCGGGTGTTGATTTCATCTTTCCGCGGCTGCCAAGGAGTTGCTTCAAGCTGCTTTTTGGGGTTAAATTTCCCTCTTTGTGTCCAGTTTGAGAACAAAACGCTGGTGAATACCTCATAGCCGATCCTCTGTCGCGACCTGTTTTCTCATTAAGAGACGGCCGGCCCCCTGGTGATTCCTCGCCGCCTGCGTCGATGTAGTTATGTACATAGAGCGAGCTGCAGAGCCGTAGTGGGAAACCAGTCGTGTTACTTTATTGCTTCATGTCGTTATCATGTCGTCTTCCTTCAAGAGGGAAGGGAAAAATTCATCTTTAAGCTTCTTTTCTTCCCTAATTTTTCTTTTTACTTTTTAGTTTTTTGGAGTTTAAGGTAAAAATAAGATTTACTTTACGAGTTAAATTAGTGATTATTGTGGAGAAAATGGCGATGGGGATGAATAAATGGTGATTAGGCTTGACTGAAAGTAGTTTTTTTTTGTTTTTGTTTTTTTGGGAGAATGATTGTTGGCTTTCTCATAAGATTTTAGAGCATATATGATGGTATTGTGAGCAGCCAGTTAGTGTATGATGATGTAGACCGGAGGGTTCTGGATGTGATCCACAGACACTCAGATGTTGCCGTTTGTGCAGAAATTGTTTCGACTTGAAGCTTAAAACTCGCCGTTAACGGCAACTCTGAGCAGGCTTAAAAATCATGAAAATTACCGCAAAAGTAGGGAGATACTTTGTTTTTGTTTTTTTTGCATGGAGTTTAAAAAAACTCATCCAGGTTGTTTTTTTTTTTATCACAAAAGATGCATATTAACTGAAGTTGTACCAAGTGCTACAACCTTCCTCACCCGCTCCTCATCAGCTCTTTGCCTGAGAACGGGCAGCACTGTGTACTGAATCAAACTCCAGGACACATCAAACACAAATCCTCTGATGCCCTGTGAGAATCGCTGGGTTCTCTCTCTCATCCACATGTTGCGTTTTACATTCCAGGCTCCAGACATGTTTGGGGTTTTTACTACAGATATGACAAAAAATAATAATAAAATCTAAAGCGGATTAATACAGCTCATTTTATTTTATTTTTTTTACTTCTTCCTCCTACCCTGCTTTAGTTCTGATTCTTTCCTGTACATACATATATGTAGCTATATGATTCTGTGCTCACACCGGGCATTTTGTATGTGATATTCATACTAGGCATATTTGAAGTCAAAAACATCCGGTTTGTTCATTCTTCCAACTGTAAACTCAAGTGCCTTTTCTTGTCCCTTCCTGTCCCTCCAACATTTCCTCTTCACCACAGTACGGACCAAAGACATCGACCGTCCCGACAGTCCAGCCCCGTCTCTCTCCCTCTCACTGAATGGCACACTTTTCATTTACTACAAATAAAACTGTTTGCAATACCAAACGTGTATCCTGGAGTTTTTGTGTTTGACAAAATGGCAAATCAAAACAAGCAAGGGTGATCTTTGTAAGTTTAAAAAAAAACCTCAAATGAGGATTTAATTTGAGGTAAAAACCTTAGTTGTAGTTTTCTTGGAAACATTAAATCAGATAAGAGGGGGAATAGTACTGTATGTAATTTATTCTGCATCTTTATTTACATGGTAAAAAAAATTACATAGTTCAAATCAGTCAGTTCTTGTTTTTAAAGGTCATTTTTTTGTAACCTTACAATTGATTTTTTTTTAAAAAATTGCATCAAAACTTTACTACGAGTAAATTTAAATCTTACTAGACTGATGCAAAAAAAAAGAATAAACCCCCACAAATAATGACTTTATTCATTAAATAAAGTAGACGTTTTATGAGAATATTCATATTACAGGAGGTCGAAATAATGCGAGAATAAAGTCGTTATATTACCAGTCATTATTTCGACTTTATTCTCGTACGAGTTTATTCTTGTAATATCACATCTCGTCATTTTTCCGTCGTAAAACTGGGCCATCAGAATATTAAATTAGCTTTAATACCTTATTTTTTAAAATGCCTACAAATATTAAAATGTTTCCGAAATAAGTTTGTTTGCGCTAAAGAAGGTAGAGAAGCTCAAGTTCTGAAAGATGTGCAATGCCACATCCAGCCGGCAGATGGCGGTATTGTACAGAACTAGATGTGAAGCTGGAGCAGCAACTTCCTGCATAATCAGGATTTCCCAACCAAAATGTCAGGCGTCTCCACTGAGTAACTGAAGTTGGTTGGGAAAAATTACTTTTTAATTGTAATATCGCCTGAAATCACCTCTATAGGCTTAAACAGATCTTTATTCAGAGTTTATTTTGCCTCTTTTTCTTTGACAATTTGGTCTTTAAAGTTGCAGTATATAACTTTGATTTTTATATATACTTTTTTGTTTTATTTACATATTTGTTAAAGCTGTAAATGTCATGAAAGTATAGTATTAGAANATAATAATAAAAAAGCTCATAGGATAAAAGTTCACCTTGCTATATAGGTGAAATGGTCTGCTAGTACCTTTAAAAATCTATATTAAGGAATTATTGCCTCAAAACAAGCTCCTATATCTTGCTGAAAGTGTAAGTTTCGTCTTATTTCTAGACAAAAAACATGGTAAAAAAAAAAAAAAACTACTAGGAATTAAATTTATTTAACTTAAAACTTTTATTTTGAAATACAAAACAAAACGAGTGAAACTGTTTGGTCACTGATTCAATAATGAAGCTTCTCCAGTTGAAATGAACTGTACAAACATTCAATATTGCTCGACATAATGCAAAAAGAAATGAGTATAAAACGAGTGGATTGGTGACAGCAGATCCAGTGTGGCTGTAAGGTCAGAGGTCAGATCACAGCCCCATCACTGAGGGAAACACAGCAGCGCCTGTTGAAGGTAGCAAACACTTCAGAGAATTTTCTCATAAACTGCTCCTCTCTCTGGTGCCGTTTTGTCCTACCTTGACCGTCTCCAGTATCAGAATCTGGGACTTTCCAGTCCAGCTGGCGGCCTTTTTCGTAGAGTCCCTTCAGAACCTTCCTTACTTCGTCGCTCCCTCTTCCGCGGCTGAGCTCCAGGTACTTCCTGTAGAGCTGCAGGGCGGTGCGTGCGTCCTCTATGCTGTCGTGGGTTTCCCCCTGGATGTTGAGATCTAGCGGCACAACACAGACAACAATCTGGAATGACCGGTTTTCACAATTCCCACTTCAGCATTCCAGATTTTTCACAGTATTCATTTCCAGTTTGGATATTCCAGAAATGCAGGAGCGGGAGATGAGGAGGTGGCTGAGATGAAGGAGCAGGTGCAATTCAATGGAAAAACTGAAATCCTACCAAGTGTTTGGTAAATATCTGCAGAAGAGGATTAGAGACACTAAAGAAAATAATTCAGTTTTTCTTCTCAGAATTCTGACTTTTATCTTGAAATTTTGACTTTTATATTGGAATTTTGACTTTAATCTCAGAATTTTTACTTTAGTCTCAGAGTTTCCTTTTTTTCAGATTTTGACTTCAATCTAAGAATTTAGAATTTAATTTCATGTTTCTGACTTTAATCTCAGAATTCTGACTTTTTTCCATCCGATTTTGACTTTAAGCTGAATTTTAATTCTGGTCAACCTGAGTAAATCAAAATAAATATCCAAACATTCAACAATGTTGTTAGTATATTAACATAATCACAGCATTAAATATAAAACCATGAAACATGCAGATCTTTATGTTTTCCTCCAACATGAAACCATTTTCTTCAAGCAGAGTTTTCAACATGGCAGCCGGATAATTTGGTATCAGATTATATATGGATGCTAAAATTTGTCTGTCACATCGGCTCTGTGGCGTTTATAAATGCTGGATCGTCTCACCTAAATAATACCAAGCGAGGAATCGTAAAGAAATCATTCTCTTCCGGGGCAAATGGAAAAGGTAGACCGTGTCGATGACTTGATCCTTGGGGACCTTAAAGACAACAAATATTCAGAGTTTACACAAGAAAAGGTTTTAACATTACATCACTGAATCTGACTGGAAATAACTAAATCCATCACCCTACCAGGAGATTAATGA